TATATACACAATATGAACACATAGCTCTGAAAAAATTAAATTTTAAATCGAGAAAAACAAGAATTAGTTGCAAGTTAATTTCGAATACTACAATAAAAACATCAAAAAGAAATTAAACATTAAAGATGATTCCTATAAATTTAAAGTGTATAAAGAAGATTTCGAGTTAGTAGAAAATACTATGATTACTAATGACTTCATGAAAGAAATATGTCAAAGATGTAACGAGTTAAATTATTGTGTAAAATATTTATCCTTAATTCCGGATAGAGTAGATTGCAGTATTAATCATTCGGAACTAATTTTACAAAGAATTAAAATGTTTAATAAACATGAGCATCTTTTATGTTACAGGTGAACAAATAATTATTATTTAATATAATAATTATTATTATGTATACTAACGAGATATGTTTGATCATTTTATTACTCGATAAAAATCTCTTAATGATGAGTTTTACATTTATTGTACAAATTATCCTTTATATCTATCATGTAAACTAATAATTATTAATCGTTTCAGACTATGCACGTTTTCGTATTGGTAAGTGAAAATCTTTATAATAAATACGTCAAGTGTTTGAATAAGATGTTTCTCTTTATGAAAAAGCGAAAACTATTTTGGAATGAGAATACGTTAAAATTATCACAACGTTTTTAGATAAACGATAATGTAATCTACATGAGAACTGATAATTCGTTGTTCTCAGTAAAGAAACAATTATCCGTAAATGACATTGATACACCAAAAATCATTTAAAAAGTAATACGAAGAAAGAAGTCAAAAAATTAATAGTTATACCAAACAAGAAAGTTAATAGTCTATTAAAGATGCGCAAGATCAGATTGTATCTAAACGATCAAGAGAAACAAAAATTGAAAGAATGAATGCAGACATCCACATGGACCTATAACAGAGTATTAAATTTGATTAATTCTGGTTCATCAAAGGGTATTACTAATCTGAAAAGATTATATGTCAACAAGAATAGCGTAAGCATAAGAATATCCTCAGTCCCATATAATGTAAGAGAAGATGCTATAATTGATTTGTTGAATGCTATCGAGATTAATGAGAATAAGAACAAGAGATTTGAGATGAAGAAAAGAAAGGCTAGATGTTTTGTTATTCAAGCTAGAAAATGGAATACCAAAGGTGATAAACAGTACAAGTTCCTCAAAAACATTGAGACCAGAGAACCCAAACCTGAGATCAAACATGCAGTTAGGGTCAAATTGAATAGATTGAATCGATTCTGAATATGCGTACTAGTTCCACTCGAGACAAGAGAACGAATGTCAAATGGTACTCTGTCTATCAATTCTGGTTCATGTACATTTCTCACATGCTACAACTCTAAAGGAAGCATCATTGAGATTGGTAACAACGATATTCAAAAGATCAGAGACATAAAGGATAGATGTTACAAGTACCAGTCAATAATCGATATGTCTCTTAGTCCCAAGAACAAGAAAAAACGACATCGTCTAAGAACAAAAATCCTGAGGATATATGAAAGAATAAAAAACATGATAGATGACTGTCATCATAAAGCTACAAAGTACTTGTGTGAACACCATTCACAGATATTAATACCTGATTTCAGAACAAAGAACATGATATGCAAGAAACATAGAAAGATCAATAAGGAGACAACTAAATGTTTAATATCATAGTCACATCACAAATTTCTCTACTTTTTGAAACACAAAGCTAGAAAGTATAACACAGACATTGTTGAGTATACTGAAGAGTATACTAGCAAAACGTGTGGTCAATGTGGAACTCTCAATCACACTTTGGGCAGGTCCAAAGTGTTTAGATATAATCATTGTGACTTGTTTGTAGATAGAGATTTCAATGGAGTGAGAAACATCTTGCTCAAATACTTGACAGAGAATAACGGGGTTCCTGCACCCCTTGATAATTGCTGATTCTGTAATTTTGATTACTAATGATGCTTTTCAATGTAGGAGTTGTAAGGAATATGAGCTTAAAATATATGGATGTGTTATGAGAGTATAACACTTTAATTAAATATTTGTTTTGGTTTTATATTTCAGACAAAATTTCTTGATTAACCAATCATACTTTATTTAGTAATGATAACTTAACGGATTATCTAATGATTGATTAATCAGATCATCATATATTATAGTTAATTAAAATTTAACAAAGTCTTATAACAAAGAAGAATATCAACAGTAATTTTATATTTTCAATACAAATTAAATGTTTAACTACTCAAAATATTTGAAAATAGTAATAAAAAATAATTAAATTAAAATTATAATATTAACAAATATATCTTATTTAAAAAAAAAGATAAAAAAATTATTATTTTTAGATATAAATTTATTGTAATATCATAATTATCTAACCAAAATGTACGAAATTTTTTAGACAAGATATTATGACCATTCTCTACAAGTTTACTTAGTACTTGAAAATACAGATATTAGTCAAGATTATTTGTTTACCTAGATG